TCATGTGAAAAAGACCTAAGGATTTTAATCAGTTGCAATCTCAATGTAAGTCAACAGTGTGATGTGTATATCAGCCAAAAAGTTAATAGAATCTTAAACTACATCAATGAATATAACGCATAGAAGGATACAGGCTGTTAATATCTTGGGCAGATCACACCTGAAATGGTGTTTGGTTCTGGGCACCACGTTTTAAGAAAGACTGTATCAGAGACAGTGGGAAAGGGAAAGAGTGCTGGATTTGGAATCAAATTTGAATCTAAAACCCACTCACTACCTGTGTGACCTTGCGCAACTCACTTTACCTATGGCCCTCATCTGTGAAAAAGGGGGCTGAAGCGGATGACTCCTAAGGTCTCTTCTAGTTGTGTGATTCTAGGCAAATCATTTAACCTTTCTCAGCTTCAGTTGCCTCATCTATAAAATGGGAATAATAATAGCAGTACCTACCTCACAGGATTGTGAGAACTAAATGATATATGCAAAGGACTTTGCAAACGTAAGTATTATACAAATGCTAGCTAGCTCTTATCCTTATCATCATCACCAACAACCTTCACTAGTTCTGGCTGCTCCTTCTCTTACACTCCCTCGTATACTCCTTGCCCTACCCTCTCAATTCTTTCTCTGCTGTTATCCCTCAGCAACCTCTCTTCCTTGGAGGTTTATTTCATCCATCTACATCACCAGGTCCAGGTCCTCCTTCTTCTTTCTCTGGTCTCCAGTTTCTTCATTTGTAAATCTTCTTTTCCTTTCTCTCTTTCATTCCATTATCAGAGTCAAACATATTCTTTTCAAATCACCCCTTTTTTCCTGTCAATTCACACCAGAGTTTTCCTTTTGCATCTAACACATTTCATTACTGGGCATAAGGGTCCCTGAATCCAGTCTGGGTTACTGGTATCCAACAAAAAGATTGCCCAGGGGCCTCATTTCTAAAATATATAGAGAACTAAGTCAAATTTATAAGAATACAAGTCATTCCCCAATTGATAAATAGTCAAAGGATATGAACAGGCAGTTTTCAGATGAAGAAATTAAAGCCATCTATAGCCACATGAAAAAATGCTCTAAATCATTACTGATTAGAGAAACACAAATCAAAACAACTCTGAGGTACCACATCACACCTATCATCAGACTGGCCAACATGACGAAACAGGAAAATGATAAATGTTGGAGAAGATGTGGGAAAATTGGAACACTAATGCATTATTGGTGGAGTTGTGAAATGAGCCAACCATTTTGGAGAGCCATTGGGAACTACGCCCAAAGGGCTTTTAAAATGTGCATACCCTTTGACCCAGCAATAGCACTTGTAGGGCTGTATCCCAAAGAGATCATACAAATGGAACAAGGACCCACATGTACAAAAATATTTATAGCGGCTCTTTCTGTGGTGGCAAAAAATTGGAAATTGAGAGGATGCCCATCAATTGAGGAATGGCTGAGCAAGTTGTGGTATATGTATGTAATGGAATACTATTGTGCTATAAGAAATGATGAGGAAGTGGACGTCAGAAAAACCTGGAAAGACTTGTATGGACTGATGCTGAGTGAAGTGAGCAGAGCCAGGAGAACATTGTACACAGTAATAATAGCCATCTTGTGCGATGACTGATATTGATAAACTTAACCCTTCCCAGCAATACAAGGATCTAAGACATCTCCAAAAGTCTCATGATGGAAAATGCTATCCATATCCAGAGAAAGAACTATGGAGTTTGAATGCAGATGAAAGCATACTATTTGCTCTCTGAAAAAAAAAAAAAAAGACTGCCCAGGATTAAGTGCCTCTCAATCACAATACTTGATTCAAATAATTTCTTCTTAGACATCATTATAATTTAAGGTTTTTCATTACTGTCAATTTTTTCCCTAACTTGTTTATTTACCTTTTTAATATTGTGAAATTTCCTCTAGTTAGTGTAGCATATTTCAGCCCCGTATATCTTAATTTCAATCCTAAAATCTTTCAGATTGGCCTGTCCTCCTTTAAACAATAGCAGCTTACAAACCCTATCCCAAAGCTCCTAGACATATTATGCTTTGGTAACTTCAGGAACTTAACAGGATATAGCAGGAGGAAAAGTTTGGGATCTACTGCCTCAGCTGTACCAGGAGGACCCAGAGTCAAAGAGGTAATGATTTCGTAGGTTTACAGATTTAGAACTGGAAAGGACCTTAGAGGCCAATCCCTTCATTTTACAAATGAAGAAACTGGGGACCAGAGAAAGATGAAAGGAAGGAAGGAAATACGTATTTATTAAGTGTCTACTATTCACCAAGCACTGTCCTGAGGGCTTTACAAATGTAATCTCATTTGATCCTCACACAACAACCTTGTGAAGTCAGTGCTATTATTATCATCATCATTTTACAGTTGTAGAAACTGAGGCAAACAAAAATTTGTCAAGGGTTACACAGCTAGTGACTGAGGCTGAATTTAAACTCGGGTCTTCCTAATTCCAAGTTCAGCCCTGTATCCATTAAATTAATTAGTTAATTACTACCTACTAACTACCTAGTTAATTTCACATATATAAAAAGTTTTAAACTAGTATCTAAAACAGATTTAGCTGAAAGTCAACCCAAACAAAGACTACAGGCTGCATACATGTCCAAATCAGCAAAAACAACTTATAGTATTCTCAGATTTTTTTGAGAGGAAATACTAATTAGAATTACTCCCAAGAAACTTCAGGTAGGGTCTCCAAATCAGAGCCAGAAAAAAGGTAACATGAAAGGTCATCTAAGGATAGTCATTAACCTGGGACTTTTGCTCTTAAAATTAAAAGGAAACCAGAGAACCACATAGAGAGAGGTCCTAGAACCCTTATTCTGATTAAAATGACAGAACAAAGGCTGATTTCCTGCCTTCCCAAATGTCACTGTCTAGGTGCAACTTAACCTTTCTAGGCCTATTTTATATTGTTCCCCTTTATACATTCTGTATTCCGGCCAAATTCACCTACTAGCTACTTCCCAAAGACAGCATCTCACCTCTCTCTGCACCTCTGCACTGGATGCTGCCCCATTCCTGGAACATCTTCTTGGAATCCTTACCTTCCTTCCCAGCGTGGCTCAGTCACCTCCTAGTCAAAGTCCTTACTGATTCCCCCAATGGTCAGTGCTCTCCCTTCTCAAATCCCCTTCCATTTACTTATCACATTCCATATCAGATTACCCCAGAAGAATGTAATCATTTTGATGAGGTTTCATTCTTATTGTTGTAGCCACAGTGGTTTGCACTTAGTAGGTGTTTTATAAATGTTTGGTGATTTAAGTGCTTTTCTTTTTGCACCACCTCAATGTATTCTGGGGACAAGGTATCAGGTATTGGTAGGTATTGGTAGATGATTGGAGCAATGAGAACTTAAGAAATCTTCCAGTCCTTTCCTCCTACTCACCTCTGATGATACAGAAGCAAGGCAGAATTATAGTTGACTGATCTTTCCTAGACAACTCCCAGAAAGTTCTTTGTAAAGGCACCCTAGCTATATTTCTGTTGAATGCACCCCACCCCACCTCCCCACCCTACTTTGGATAGTTTACTGGGTAACAGTTTACTGTTCTCTCAGATTCTCAGAAAGTTAGTTCCTGATGAACCTCTCCACCACCCTTTAAAACTGAAATCTTTAGGGGCAGCTAGGTGGCTCAGTGGATAGAGCACTGGCCCTGGATTCAGGAGGACCTGAGTTCAAATCCGGCCTCAGACCCATAACACTTATTAGCTGTGTGACCCCGGGCAAGTCACTTAACCCCACTGTTTAGCCAAAAACAAACAAACTGAAATCCTTATGCTAAGGGCTTCACAGCTACATAATCTGCTAGGAGAAAGAAGTGGTACACTCTGCCATTGAGCCTGGCAATGGGCATGGTTTAGAAATGGATTATAGGCCTAACATCTTAATGTCAGAGATTTCTTTTTCCTTGTTAATTAACTGATCTATTCATAGATTGATTTGTCAGAAGTGGCCATCTGTGCGGTTGCAACATGATTTCTAGCATGTTTTTCATTACAACAGCATTCTTAGGGTCACAAGATCAAATTTAGAGTTGGAAGGGACTTCAGAAGTCATCTACTCCAACTCCCTCATTTTACAGATCAGGAGACTTCAGCCCAAAGAGGTGAAGTGACTTTTCCCAGGTCACACAAGTAGCAAGTGGCAGAGCTGAGACTGGAAAGCTGCTGATTCCAAAGCCAGACCTCTTATCACTGGACCACTTTACCATCTTTTATTTTGTAAGAAGATGCTGATGGGAAATATGAAGATTCACAGTTAATATAAACACCTCATTTTGTCTTTTTAAGCTAACTGCCCCTCTCCCAATCATTTAATTAAAAAAAAAATTCTCCAGGGGAAGAAACCTTCTAACAATTTACTTTCAGAGGCTTAAAACAATTCTTCCTTAGTTTGGTGTTCTTTATCTTTTCCCTGATAAACTTTCATTTTTTAAATTATTTATTTAATTCTTTATTTTCAATTAATGAAAATTTAAAAAGAAAAACAAAACCCTTGTAATGAGAATATATAGTCAAGCAAACAAATTTTGGTCAGACATATTTAAAAAAAATACGTCTTAGTCTGCACTCTGAACTCGTCACCTCAGGGGTGGCCTACCCAATCATTCAACCATGCTGTCAAGTTCAAAGAGGCTGACTTGTAATTTCTCTCCATTGTGTTTCCCCAGCCTGCTGATAGACAGCAAAATGACTCAGAGTTGGGGGGAAAAGTGACAAGCCATAGATCAACTGCAGAATCAGGCTTAATTTGAGACTCCAAAACTCAAACAGACACTAGCATTGGCCCCAGGAGAACATTTGTGAGATAAACACATTTTAATGACTTCACAGTTCCCTCAGTTTAGTATTTTTTTTACACCAAAAAACTGAAATAATTTTAAAAGTTCAATTAACTGATAAATCAAAATTAACAAACACCCCTTACTAGTACAAAGTTTAATTTTACTTGTAGTTACAGATGTAATGTTATTACCTTTGGGATATCTCCTTTAATACCCGGGGGAAGCCTGAGGATCCAGAAATTCCTATTTCTCAGCAGGTTCTCCATGTTTTCTAGCCTCCGCTGCAGCAGCCCATACTCTTGGAGCAGGGTCCCCAACACGGCCCATTTTCCCTCCAGCTGGTTCCCAAGGTCTGCCACTGTTTTTTCACAGCTATTCAGCTTATTCTCAGCTGCCCCTGTCCTCCCTTCCAGATGCAGAAGCCGCCGGCTGTGCACCTCCACCTTTCTCTCTACAGCTTGAACTGCTGCTACAACTGTCCACAGGGAGATGGCTGCTGTCTGCAGGTGGGCCTCACTTGGCAGCGGGAGAGACTGCAGTGAAGTGGTACACTCTGATTCCCATTCTGGAATCTGTTTGCCAGGAGAAAAAGAATATGGCAATGAGCATTAGGGGCAATACCAGTAAAAACCAAAACTCTGTGAAATCTCTTTCCATCACAAGTTCAGATAAAGAACTTCCTTAAGTCTTCATCTGAATACAACATTTGTATTTGAATATACTTAGGGATAGCAACATCATCTTTGGGATTAATTTAGGATAACTAAGTAAGATGGGAAATAAAGCCAATTGGTATCCTCTGGAGATACTCAGGAGGCTCAAGTCATCATTATCCCATCTGTGATTGTCAAACTGAAATGTCATGGCAAGATGCACCAGCCCCATCCCTCCAGATTCCCCTTAGGCTCACTGACCTCTAAGGAAGACCCTAATAGGTACAAGGGCCAGAGGTAAATATAATGAGGCTTCCACAGCCCAGGTTTCCACTGACAGACTCTAGACTATTTCATTCAAATAAAGAATAAAGGAACTAGGAATGTTTAGTTTGGATGAAGCTAACAATAAAAATAATATACTTTTAAAATTTACAAAGCACTTCATAACAATTCTATAAAGTTCTATAAAATTCTATAAAGTATATTATCACTTTTATTCTTCAGATGCAAAAACTGAGGATCAGAGAAGATCAATGGAAAACATGACAGTCATCTTCAAATATTTAAAGGCCTATTCAGAAAAAGGAGCACACTTATTCTGTAAACTTTAAAGTTTACAAAGTATTTTACATATATCATCTCATTTGATCTTTATAATGGATAATAAGGTAGATCTCTCGGGTATTATGATCCTAGCCCATTTTACAGGTGAGGAATTTGAGAGTCAGGGAGAAGTGGCCTACCCAAAGCCAAATAAATCAAGAATGAAAACTGGGTCTTCTGACTCCAAACACAGCCAGCATTCTTTCAGGTCCTTGTCATTGTCATCAACTAACCTCCTGGATACTCTTCCACTTTTCTCCACTACTTTGGCATCTGGTTCATAGTCCTTGCCTCTAACTATTCTCTAGCCATCAACTTGGGAGACTTCAATATTCTCACCAATGACTTTTTTTTTAAACAGCTCTTCATTTTTAATGACTTTTCACAACGTATCCAATGACCTTTTAACACCATATCCTCACAGTTCACTGAACCCCTTAAATCCTATGACCTTCATCTTCCATTCATTTTATTGCAGCCTCACACACTGCAATGACCAACTTGAGACCTCACCATTACACCAAACTGCTATGTCTCCAAGATCTTTAACTCTGAAATTCCCCTCTCTGACTATAACCATTTGTGCTTTTGTCTCTCCTACTCCCTTATTTCTATTAGGCAGCCAAATAGTGAATTGGATAGAGCACTTGGCCTGGGGTTAGGAAGACTTGAGCTCAAATAAAGCCTCAGACACTTACTAGGTATGCAACTAGCTACATAAACTTTGTCTGCCTCAGTTTCCCTCAACTGTAAAATGAAGATTATTAATAACAGCATCTACCTCACAGAGCTGTTGTAAGGATCAAATGAGATATTTGTAAAAGTGCTTAGCACAGTATCTGGCACACAGTAGCCACTTAATAAAGCCTCCCTCCCTCCTTTTCCTTCCTCTTTACCATGAGCTGTCAGTACCTCAATTTCTCCCTATTTTCTAATTTTATAAATCCTATTCTGGCTTTACTTCTCTTCAATTAATCAACAGTATCAAGTGTCTACTATGTTCCAGACACTGGGGATACAAGTACAAGAACGAACAATTCTTGCAAGGAGCTTACAATCTAATGGGAGAATAAAGCAAGTACATATATTAATACATAGAGCCTAAATAGAAAATGAACACAAATATATATATACAAAGCATTTAAATTACAAGGTAGTTTGGAAGAGCTGAGTGGTTCAGGAAAGGCCTGATGCAGAAGGTGGTATTTGAGCCATATTTTTTTTAATTTAATTTTCAGATCCTTATGCTCTTCCTCCTACCTACTACCCCCTTCCAACTGAGAAATCAAAGGGGAAAAAAGCCAAAACATGCATAAAAAACTAAAAGAAATTCCACATTCATTTTGTGTGTGTGCGCATGCATGGGCATGAGCGTGTGTATGTATACACACTTCATTCTACACTCTTGAGTCCATCATCTCTCTATCTGGAGGTGTGCAGCATGCTTTATCATGAGTCCTCTGAAATTGTAATGGATCATTGTGCTGATTAGAGTTCCTAAATCTTTCCAAGTTATTTGTCTTTATCAAATTGTTGTTACTATATGCATTGTTTCCAGGTTCTTATCACCTATGTATCAATAGTTCAAAGAAGTCTTCACAGGTTTCTTTGAAACCATCCTCTTCATATTCCATACAGCATAATGACATTCTACTACATTCGTATATCATAACTTGTTCAGCCATTCCCCAATTGATGGGTATCCCTTGAGTTTCCAATTCTCTGCCATGGCAAAAAGAGCTGCTGTCAATATTTTTGTATATATGAATCTTTTTCCTCTTTCTTTCATCTTTATGGGGTATAGATCTTGTAGTGGTACTGGTAAGTCAAAGGGCATACAGTTTAATAGCTTTTGAGGCATACTTCCAAATTGCTCTGTCAATAATGCATTTATTTATCTGCTTTTCCATAGCCCCTCTAGAATTTATCATTTTCATTTTCTTTCAGCTTTGCCAATCTGATGGATATGAGGTGGCACCTCAGAATTGTTTTAAACTCCACTTCTCTATTAGTGATTTGGAGCATTTTTTTATATGGCTTTTGATAGCTTGAATTTCTTTATCTGAAAACTGGATATTCATATCGTTTGTCCATTCATCAGCTGGGGACTACTGAGTTATGTCTTGAAGGAAGAGAGAGACACTATGAAGCAATAAGGAGAGAGTACATTCTAGTTATGTGGGTAGACAAGTACCAAGGCAGGGAGAGGGGAGATCCAGTGTTGTGTGTAAAGAACAAAGAGAAGGTCAATATGGCTATATTACAGAGTGCAAAAGTGAGGGAAAGCTCCCAAGAGGCTGGAATCAAATTGTTTAGGGCTTTATAAACTAACCAGAAACATTTATATTGTATCTTAGAGCAAAGGTTCTTAATCTTTTTTGTGTCCTGGACCTATCTTGCAGTCTGGTAAAGCCTATTATGCATCTCTTCTTAAAACGATACTTTTGGGGCAGCTAGGTTGCGCAGTGGATAGAGCATTGGCCTTGAAGTGAGGACGACCCGAGTTCAAATCTGGTCTCAGACCAAACACTTGACACTTACTAGCTGTGTGACCCTGGGCAAGTCACTTAACCCCAACTACCTAAAAAAAAAGATACTTTTTAAAAAAAAAATTGATTAATTAATTTTTAGTTTTCAATATTTACTTCCACGAGCTTTTGAGGTCCAAATTTTCTTCCCATCTCTCCTCTCTCCCACTCCAAGATGGCATGCATTCTAAGTACCTCTTCTCCCAATCTGCCCTCCCTTCTATCAGCCCCCTAGAAGGATACTTTTAAAATGCATAAAATAAAATACACAGAATTAGAAAGGGAACCAATTATATTGGAATATAGTTATAGAAATATTTTTAAAAGGTCATGGATCCCCTACATGAAATGATGCAGAGTGAAGTAAGCAGAGCTAAGGAAACAATATGTACAATTACTACAATGTAAAATGAAAGAATTATTTAAAAAAAACAACAAAGTGAATGTTGTGAAATTATAAAGAATAAACATGACTCAAAAGAAGAGATATGAGGGGCAGTTAGGTGGCACAGTGGGTAGAGCACCGGCCCTGAAGTCAGGAGGACCTGAGTTCAAATCTGGTTTCAGACCAAACACTTGACACTTGCTAGCTGTGTGACCCTGGGCAAGTCACTTAACCCCAATTGCCCAAAAAAGAAAAAAAAAGAAAAAGAGGAGATATGAGAAGATACTCCCTTCCCACCCTTTTGCAGAAGTGGAAGGTCCACAAGTGCTGTACATTGCACGTATTTTTATATTTTTCTCATGTACTGATCAGTTTTTTTCTACTTTTTTTCCCCCTAGGCAGCTAGATGGTACAATGGATAGAGTCAAAGGCCTGGAGTCAGGAAGATATGAGTTCAAATCCAGACTCAGACACTGGCTAGCTGTGTGACCCTGGATAAGTCACTTAACCTCTGTTAACTTTGCTTTCCTCATTTGTAAAGTGGAGATAATAGCACTTACCTCCCAAGATTGCTGTGAGGATCAAATTAGGTAATATTTGTAAAGTGCTTAACAGAGTGCCTGAAACATATTAATTTATTCCTGTTCTTTTCCCCTACTTGGTCTTTAGAAATATACTCTTTGTTATATATAGGATGGTTCTTTGGAAGGGGAAGAGGAAAAGATACTAGAAGAAACTATGCTGACATAAAAAATCAATTAGTAAAGACGTATTAAAATACTTTTTGAAAGTTCACATATCCCAGATTAAGAACTTCTGTCCTCTAGGCAACAGGAAGCCCTGGGTTGGCTGTATAGGGGAGTTACATGATCAGTTAGGTGTTGAAGGAAAATTACTTTAGCAGCAATATTTATCTGGCAGCATCATGGATACATGGGGCAAGGGAGAGACCAGGAAAATGCCTACATTAAAACCTTGACAACAAAGGGATGGTGGTGCATTCGACAAGAATGGCAAAGTTTGAAAGGAGGGAAAGTTGGAGAGGGAGGGGCGAAAATAATGAATACAGTTTTGGGTGTGTTAAGTTTGAGATATCTCTGGGACACCCAGAGAGTCCAACAGACAATCTATGATACAGGACTGAAGCCTATATACATCTGAGTTTTTGTGACAGTGACATGTGGGGAAGAAAGAGTTAGGATATTACACTGGGGATGGGTTGTGGGGTCAAGGTTTTTTTTTTAAAATATGATATATATTTAATATATATCACATTTATCTGTGAGTTATCTGCTTAGAGATGATAACTAAATCCATGCAAGATGACATGGCTACTCAAAGAGTATAGAGGGCCTAGGACAGAATCTTAGGGAACACCCATAGTTATGGGGTGTGATATG